GAGAGAGAGAGAGAGAGAGAGAGAGAGAGAGAGAGAGAGAGAGAGAGAGAGTTTGTTTTGTATCGGTGAGTATTTCTGCGTGTGTAGTTCTGTGATTCCTTTACTACAATCTTTCATGCCCTCAGCTCCGAAGACCAGACACCACTTGGCAGTTAAAGAAAGTTAACATTGCGGAAATTGTGAAAATCGTTTCACAAGGTGAAGAGTGAACATGACAGTCGCTTGGTGATTTTCTTTTTCAGTTGGCAGATCCTGACTGTGAACACCATTATTTAGCCACAGCGAATTAAGATAAAAAGCCCCTCATCTTGGACTTGAGAGCAACATTTATTGTTTTTATAATATTAAAATTATATTCTACAATTATAGCATTTGACTGAGACCAGACCATCAATGATTTATTTATAGAGGCACCAGACATCCATGTCCAGGTGCTGTTTTAGCCTCTTTTTCCTGTATTAGGATTTATAATATCTTTTTGCCAATTTATTGGTTCCGCTTCTATGTACCCCATATATTTGACTGAGATTATTTATAATATTGCATCTGCTCTTTTTTTTTTTCAAAGAACAAAGTTGTTATTTTTAAACTCGTAAGCCAAAACTGATGATTTAAAAAAAAAATTTTTTCTTTGACGAGCCAGCCCGCAGAGCTTATGTGAGCGAGTATGTCATGCACAGGCCGAACATACCCACCCATTGCACTTCTTAGGGGACAAAAAAGAATAAAGCAAAAGAAACATTAACGTGGGAAAATGTTTCGAAATAAAGTGTAGACATTAATCAAAGGAACTGTTGATTTTGGTATGAACAGTGGAATAAAGTGCAAAAATTGAGCAATTGACATGTTTAAATTTGGTATGTGTAATGAAATAAAGTGTACAAATCAAGCAAAGGAAACCTTAATTTTGGTAAGTGTAGTAAAATAAAATGTAGACTTTAAGCAAAGAAAATACTACCGTTAGGGTACCAGTCCAAAACAATACTCACCTTGATTTTACTCTCAGGAGCGATGTCCCAGTCGTCAAATGTCAGCCGGACGTATCCGTAAGGGTCAAGGTTCTGTATCATGAAGGTGAAGGCCTCGCCGTTCAGGGCGTAGCCGTGCGGAAAGTTGGGAGAGGTCACGACACCAGTGTTGTCCCCGTACTCAGACACTACGCCCTGGTGAAGCTCTGTCTTGTCTAGATAAAGGACAATATAGAACAGAATTATTCAATTTCAGATTCGCATAAATTTCTAATTAAAGAATCACCTCTCTATCGCTCTCTCTCTCTCTCTCTCTCTCTCTCT